AAAAAATCGGAACTAAAATATAGTGTGCTTATAAAGAGGGTGTGATTATATAAGGTGTGATTGTAGAGAGGGTCGACTGTATCATATCATAGGAATCATTCTAGCTCGCTGCCAGTTTCACGACAGTTCTCAGACACTTCTTTGATGCTAGTTAGTCACTGAAATTACAAGATGATCAACTAATCAGATAAAAGGTAACTAAGCCACTATTATCATTTGAACTAATCATTATATATTTATCATACTTATTATTCACATCATTAGTGTTCAAATTCGCTTCCTTATAAATGAAAGAAAAGAAAGAAATTCTAAATTCCATTCTACTCCAATAAAAAGAAACGTTTCTTTTAGAAAGATGTCACTAGGAATCTAAACGAACAAGAGGATACAAATTATTTTACTAGTGAAGACTATCAAAGAAATTCAATAATCTTAAGAAGGCTTATAAAGTAAGTAAAGTAACTCTTGCTTAGCTCTATGGAGAATTTGGCTGATAATATTTTTATTATCATTATTTTATTAGACAGCTGTAAAATATAAAAAAAGTGGGAAAAAAGGAATTTAATAGGAAAGGAAATCTATAAGAAGTTTTTTGGTTGAAGTCTGATAACTATACTTTTGAGAATTTGATGCTTCTCACTAGTGAATTTTATTAATATTAATATATTTTAATTTTGTTAGATCTTCCATTCGAACGAATATATAATGAGAATGTTAGAAGGTTAAGCGAACCTACTCTCTGATCTCATCATCATCTTCTTTACTATCAAGATCACAAATATCATCACTAAAATTGTTGAAAATTCATCTGTATCATTAATACTGCTAACATTATCAACTATCGAAACATCTCCTATCTTTAGACCTGTGACTTCAACTATCCCTTCTTTTTTGCAAAATGCAAATATAATCAATGTTATCATCAATTATGATGAAAGGTCAAACGAACAGCAGGAATAAGAATTTTTTCATTAGTATAGAATAGCATTTTTAACAGTTTAGCAATTTTTGTATTTTTTTTCGTACATATGTTAGAGATTGCAAAACAAATATTTATTGTAGAACTTGAAAAATAAAATTCATTTTGGATATAATTTTGATTATAAAAAAAAATCATATGACTAGAATTTCAGTCAGATTCTACCAAAACAATAACCAAGATTTTTTTAAGACAGATTATTTATTATGTAAAATTCATACAATAAAGATATTTTTTTTCGTATTTCTAGATATATAAAGTATAATAAATTTTTGTGGAGTTGTATGGTAAAATACAGTCAGACCCAAAGCCTGTTTCGAAAGACAATGACTGCTCCTATTCTTTGGCTCCCTAACTATCACCATTATCATTATTATTACTACTACTACTAGAATCCCTCCTCCCTTCTCTATTAATTCATGTTTCAATTTTATCCAAGGAAGTAGTCCTCAATGTTTTTTAATAGTGGTAATAACTCGCCAAAGTCGCAAAGCTTAGTTGAATTTCTTGAGAAATTATATTATATATTTATGTATGTGAGCATCCTTTCTTCTTCTTCTTTGATTGAAAAGAGCTATGAACTCCACCCATAAAGTTTGTATTTTCTTGTGATATATCGTATATTGGCTCATAAAATCACGACTAGAAAATAAATGAGATGTATCTAATGAATTATAAAAAAAAATTAGTATCTCTTTACATAGAGGATATATGCAAATATATAGAGCATTGAAAATTTATCTTGTGATATATGGTCCCATTCTGCCTCTCCTTTCATTTTTTGAATTTTATTATTTAATGCCAATACCATTTTTTCAATTTTGGCAATTTGTGTTTTTTCTGATGCCGATGATAGGTATTTGCAAAAGAATAAGAATGCTCTTACAAGCAATATATATGTTATGGTATTTCCAGAAAAAATGGTTTGGAGTATCTCCATTGTTAAAACACCCCAGAAAATCATCTTATATATTGTGACGAAAACAACAATAATGAGAAACAAGATGGTGTCGAAGGAAATGAAATCATTTTTTATTAGAGGGTTTATTAGGTATTTGTTGATTTAAAAGTTGCAAAAGATATTCTGATAGTTTTATGCTCAAAAAAATTGGTTTGATTGATTTGGAACAGAGTACTTGTTAGAATATTTTTGAGGATTGATTGAATTATGCATTTGCAAAATGAGTATATTACTTTTTTTATTTGTTTCTCTTACCAGATGCCTCCGATATATCCAGTATTTTTATAATTATGATTCCTCCGCGGTTAAGAGCTAGATTATCACAAAACATGAAAGTCTCTGGATCTTTGCTGGAAATCATATTGCCTAATAATTAGCCGATCCTGAGTTGCGAAATTATCTTGTATTAGAATATTAGCTTAGCGATCAAAAAATACATATATGCACAGCGGATACCTTTGGGGTCGCGCCTTCAGCTAAATTTATCGTCACTGGCTGAGATTAAATGCAGTGTTAAAAAGCTTTTATTTTGCGATACATTCTATAAATACAAAGTTCAGGTATATAGCCCAGGATAAATGATCACATTTTTTTGTGATACAGATAATAAGATTTTTATTATTTCATTTGCAACTGCTTATCTTCCAATTTCGCGACTTTTTCTCTAAGTTCAGCATTTTTAGCCTCAAGCTTAGCTTTCTTGACCTCAAGCTTAGTGATGCGCTGTCTTAATACTTCAAGTTCGGATACACACATTTAAAATAAAAAATCACGTGCACATTACAAATTGTAACACCGATCACTTTTGCCAAGAAAAAAAAACTGCTAAGTATTTTATTAATACAGAGATGATTAGCATATTATTTTTTTTGATGTAATTACACACACATGTTAAAGTAAAAGTATTTGACGATTATAAAGAATGCAATTTAATACCAGAAACAATAACTATATAGCCCAATATAATTATTATAAACATAAATAATTCAAAAATCCAGAATATGTCCATATCAATTATGCTTTTTTTGGTTCTTATTGTTTTTTTTCTTGACTTTTTTCTTGTCTTTTACAAGGTGAGAATTGCATTTTTCTGATGAATCCGAATCTAGAAAAAAGAAATTAGCTATATTAAGATAAGGAACAAGCAAAATATGTGTAAATACCAGAATTAAGTTCAAGCTCCTATACAGTTCCATCTCCTGATACGCCTCATACTACTTCACAAACTTCACGAGGTTTCTCTGATACTGCTTTAAAATTTCTGATAAGCAATAATACATCAGTCATAGAGTCCCATCTGAATACACATTCATAGCAATTCAGAAAAAGTAAGTTACAATAACATTTCCCAATAACAATTATATGATTGAAACCACATAGCGCAATTTCCATTATATAATAACGAATATCATCTTTTCGAAGATCATTGCTTTGTATCTCTATATCAAGAGAGGTTGCAATACGAAAGCGGTCTGACTCATTCACGATCATATCGACTACCAAAGACAGATTATTGCCAAATGAGTCAAATCTATTACTGCTTGACACTGAGAACATGGAGGAGTTGTATTTCTATTTAGGTCTACTGTCTGGGAATACAAAATAGCATGGTATTTTCATGTAGTTTTCTTTCTATACAGAGCCCACTATGGTACCGACTCTGAACACTAGCCCCAGCAATTTTTGCAATCCTTCAATTTTTTCTCGATTTGGACATTGGAAAACATTGATTTCATCTCTTCTTTCATTTCTCCCTGCTTGCCACAAATTGATATTCCGAAAAAGTAATTCTTGATGTTGTCCCTTCGAGTAGAAATGTGAGATTTATTGTGGCTGGACGAGCTAATGGATTCTCTTCCATTTTCGTAATCTTGGCTGCAATGATCAATAACTTTTTCTCCAGAAATGCAACTTGATTTTTGTACTTCTTTCTGTGAGGTTTCACCTTGTAATTGTATTTCACTTTTGGAGGTCAACCTATTTGGTACTTCTAAAGCAGGACTACTGCATCCCACACAGTGATGATGAGAATCAGACGAGTAAATGGTGGGTCACCATTTTGCCCTCGGGGCCATAAGGCATTACAATTCTGTTCAACTTGCATAAAAAATGTTTTGTTAAATCACGAACGATACCCTCTAGCTTTCAATTTCTTTTATTATTTCTTAAGACAGCCCATTATCAATTAAACTACAGTCAGAATGACTATGCGATATAATGAATTTCATGATAAACGATTTTTAAAATTTTGTCTTTATGAACATATATAAAAATCGTTATATCAAACAAATTAAATTTTGACATGGCGAATTTTTTCAGTGAACCAGAGAGTTTGTGATATCGAGTTCTGACTGTATTCCCAATTACTTTTTTTTCATGTGAAAATTCACTGTAAGGATCTATGAATTCCGCTCTCATCCATGGTTCATGTTGTTTGTTAAGTCAGTTGTATGTACTTTGGCAATAGACATTAGTAAATAAAAAATGAAAACAAAAAAATAAGTGCTTACTTGTTACTTTCATTACACTGCACGTGATAATAATTTGAGATCGTGACTCACTTCTGACATCACCACTTTTTACATATCATCAGGTAATAAGCTTTCAAGCTACGAATGTGAAGCAAACAGCACTAACCTGCTGTACATGATAAAGTTTCTATACTTGTGCTAATGGAGCATAATCGATAAGAACATACTTTTTAATTCATTCGATTTCGCCTGTATTTTAAGAATTAGGACCTTAACTGTGATACATAATATATTTATCTGCTAATTAAACAGAGTCACAAGACTATTGATTATAAGATATCAAAACTTTTGGATGCTAAATAAACAAACTCTTTAATTTTTCATATCCTTTCTAGAATGACAATTTCTGGGTTTTGGTCATATAATACCTCAATAAGCTCAATAAAGAAAATTCTATTATCTAGGCAAATGCATCTTTTTTGCTGATTATGATTAACAATGTCTTTGAGTTTTTTAACATCCTTATACCAGTTAATGCTATGAAACTAATGCTAAGTCTCTTGCACCCCCAATGCAATTCGATATTTTTGGAAGAAGGCATCAAGCTCTAATTTATTCAAGAAAGAAGGGTGATACTCAATTATCAGCTCCTCATGAAGGATTTTTTTGGCTATCTGGATGCATCTAGTCTGAAATTTGCGATTTTTTTAGATTCTGATTTTTTTTTAAACTCATCGAGATACCGCTCTAACTTCTCAATTCTAGCATTATGTCTGTTACTCTCTTCCATCATCTGTTTTATAAGCTTCGCATTTCTGACATCAATCTTGGTAATACATTGCTTTAATAGATCTATTTCAGTTTACATATCTGTGTTAGATCAAACGTTAGTATTTAAAATCAGTAAAAATATTTCAATTATTTCAAATTTCAGAAAACCTGTGAACTTAGTTCACAGATTTTGTTAAGAGATATTTTAATCTCATCAGTATTAATACCATATAGCCATATTTCCCATTGAAGTTCCTCAGCATCACATGATAATTCTATCAGACTTAAAATTTATGGAAGATAAAAAACATTGGATTGTATGAATATACTTTTTTAGTTAGACCTTCAGAAGATAATCTATTTTAATTGCCTAACTGATAGGTTTTCTTTTTTCGAACTATAGTGAGAAAAAGAGATGTAAATTCAGGAATCCTTTCATTATTCCATTCATATCTTAATCCATATTCTTTGATAAATTTATTGTAACGTTCTTCTGTCTCAGCATCTATCTCATCATCTGACATTTTACTAATAGATTGATTTAGGCTATACTTAATAAAAAATAAAGTACTGGTTAACATGTATAATTTCTTTTTGGTATATGAAAAATTATTATATATGTCACATGAATTAGTCCTATGATCTGTATGTGGCTCAGCAAATTCTTCTGAGCTGATGATTTCTGCTCTGAATCAGCCTAAATGAGGATGGACGAACAATCATCTGCAGAGTCTTGAATCTTAACTGATATATGGCCTGTTTGTTTAGCTAATCTTCAATCTCTGCAAAAGTAAACCTATATCTAATCTGATCTCAGAAAGACCTCTTCTTATAAAAATCCCACATTTTTTCAGCGGTTTGATAAAACCTTCAGGCTAGTAATACACTCTTTAAATATAAAATCTCGATATAGAAGTTGTTCTCTTTCAGATCTTTTAAACATTTTGAGACTGACTTCTTTTTTTTATGTTTCATTTATACTATTACAATTATAAAGATCCTGTATTGATAAATTCTTTAAAATAAAGGGTATTAATTCAGATGCAAGCATATCAAGTAAATTAACTTTATTCATTTTATAGATTAGAAGAATTTTCAATCAGAAAAATAAAATTACACAATCATTGATCTGGACTAAGCCTTTCTACTATCTTATTTAACATAAAACCCTGTAAACTATCAATAAGAACTTTAAACATGATAATCCTCTAAAGAATAGATTTTTAAGAAGCTATTCTGGATAGTCTTTGCTTAAATTATACTCTTTCAATTTTGAATAAAATTCCTTTATCATATAATTAATCTGAGTCAATTTCCACATTTAAATTTCATTTTTTTGGATAATACATGATTCACCTCTCTTTCCTATATATTATTTATATTGCAAGAATTTTTAGGTCCTATTCTGAAATATACTTTAGAATAAATAGTATTAGTTCAGGTGGAAGTTGTTCTAGTAAATTAACTGTATGCATTTTTATATAGTTAGAATATCTTTCAATCAGAAAAAATCTTCTGAGCAGATGATCACTACTCCAGGTTATCAGTTGGATTGGGAAAATCAGTCAAACTATCATATAATATTGAAATATAATTTACTTCTTCAAATAGAATCGCAAAATTATCGTCTAATAATAGTTTTGAACTACATATATCCAAATTCGCAACTATAGCATTTCTAAAATTAAATTGGGTCCTAGCCAATCTGGCTTAAGAACCATAAATTCACTAGGCCCAATGCTTTTATGCTTTTCATTATCATTAAAGCCAATGTGCAGATTAACCTTTCTTAATATAGAATAGGTTGCATCCAAAGTTTTAATGTTATTATTTTCACAGTGATATGTAATTTCTAATTCAGAAAAATATTTATAGCTAATGTATTTAGCATCAGCATATGTATCAATTAATGCTTTAATAGTGATATTTTCTTCAATCACAATTTACAATCACTATTTTTTATTATGATATATAATATTCAAAATAATAAATAAATCTATCCACAAGCGTTAGAGAACAATCTGATATCCTAAAATGATAGTGATATATTATCACTTAGTCTAATTGGCTAATTTATCATTTCAAGATACAAACTGTTTAACTTTTTTTTATCGTACTTTCCTTTAGTACTTATGAGAAACAGTCTTTTTATCTTTTACCTGAATTATCTCAATTGAATCAGAATTTTCAGAAGACTCAGATGAATAAGAGGAACCCTTACATTTTTTGATCTTTGGCGAGAAAGCTATTTCTTATATTAAGTCAATTACAGTCTCCTTATCCATACATTCGTCTAGATCTTTTAATTCGATTTTTAAGGATTTCACATCTTTCTCCAATCTTTTTACTCTCCTTTCTAAAGTATTAGGTTGGGAATAATAATCTTCGAATTGTTTCTTTAATGCCCTATTTTCATCGGAAAACACATTATACATATATGCATTTTATTTGTCTAACCCAAATATCTGAGCTAATTTTTCTATGTATCTGATAACTTCTTGCTCGTTAGGTGTACTATTAGATAAATGTTTTTGTTTGGTTACCATTTTCATGATATTTTATATATAATATATTTTACTTTGAGTGAAAAAAAATAAATTAATAAATGAATACTCACAGTTTCATAGAAACCTCTCTAACCTTTATGTAATTAGTTTTCATCAAAGAGCTTGAATGTCTTTGCCTAATCGGTCAGACATATACAAGCATTATTACTACATTGGTAAGATTAAAAATGGGCATCATAATTAAGAAATTGCAACTTGGTTGCAACTCCTTGTAAATCTATTTTAATATAAAAATTCATAAATAGTTGCAACTTAAAGTATTACAACTTAAGTTGCAACTAGTTAAAAATTTTAAAAATAATTATGAGAACCATCTTTAGATGAGATTAATCCATTTTTCTTTTATTTTTGTCTGATCTCTTTGGGATAGTGTTTCGATCTGTAGGCACTCACTTCCCACTTCTTTATGTTTGTTTATAGATTGCTCAGGAATATTACTCTGAGACCCCTTTGAACAACTGCAAGGTAAGTCATTCATAATACCATAATGTTATGGTGTGATGCATCTATACTCATCAACTAGTCTGAAATTTGAAATTTATTAAAGTCATGTGAAATTCACGTGAAAACGTTTTTATTGGTTAATAAGTATACAGACGATTCGCAATAAAATTTTTTTAATAATATTAATTAATTAGCTAATTTTAACTTGATTTTAATTCTTCTAAAACTTCATCTGGAATTCTTCTATAGGATCTATATTTTTTTACTGCATATTCAGCTAATTTTCTACTAATTCCCTTTTGATATAAATCCATATATCACTAAGCTTTTCTAGTGAACTTTCTAATTGTAACTAATGGAACTAATTCAAGACTTTGAGGCATAATTTGTTTCAATCCTACCCATGAATAGTTACAATTTTCTCTTGCATGTTTCTTTGTAACCCTCCAATAACGTTCAATAAAATTAAGTTCGCAATGGAACTTTGGATAGAAAATACATTGGTGATCAGCTTTCTCAATAGTTTCAGCAATTGCACCCTTTTGATTAAGAAAATCTGGTTCTAATGATATTAACCGATGTGCATAACAATTAATTCGATTTTCATCATCTTTTTTTTCTTTGCATTCCTTACATTCTAATAATAATCCATTATTAGGCCATTTTCCTCATTCTTGTAATATTTGTTTCAAACCCTTAGGCTGATCTCAAAGCTTTTCATTCAGATGATCATCCGAAAATACCATTGATTGTAACTGGTTATCAGGATCCAGTATGTATTACGCATTTTTGGCTGCAAACTACCAGGGTTTAAATTCATTCGCTTTGCAATTAGTGAATCTTTTGCAAATATTGCATGATTTGAGCTGTTATCGAAAGCAAAAATACCAATACAATTTGGATAGAGAATTTTAAATATGAAAATCGCCTTCTTCTTTATTTGGTTAAGAACATTTTCTGCAGTCCAATAACCTTCACAATTCTTTTCTGGCTCCAAATATTCACATACTTCTACTGATACTGTAGAATATTGTTCAATATCTGTTGGCTTTAGTTTTAAATGTCCATTAACTTTCGTCAAAAACTTACTAATCATAATTGATTTACCATTACCTTTTTTTTGTAAAGGTAATTCACCATTCTTGGCCCAAACACCACGTTATCCATCATTTGAATAAAAGATACATTTATCATGCATCACTAAGATGTGTTCTTTTTCACCTTCTGCTAAATCAGGTAAGATCCGATCCATATTTTCACCTTCATAATATGATATGAGACTTTCATACTCAAAAATCTGCTTTAAGAATTTATTTCTATATTGAACTACATCTGCATGTTCATGCCCATCATAATATATACCTTGCTTTGTCTCTGCTTTGAATACCCAAGAATATGAAGCCAACAAACTGCAGTTGAAATATTAATAGTTTTTTTCTTGTTTATTCCCAACTGAATTAATAAATTTTGTTCTATAAACTCTTTAAATTTAATAGGTGTGACTTTATAATGTTGATCTTGAATCCAAATGTGATATTTTTCAGTAACATCCTCATCATCTATTAATCTAATAGTTTTTTGATGCTTTTCTTGAAATGATACAGGAAGTACATTATAAAGAAGCTAATAATTAGCCCAATATCATATCTGTTGAGCTTTCCAAACTCCACCATTAATGAAACTATTTGTGCAGTACTTAAACTTGCTTTCACTTTCTCAGTACCATTTTTATCCAATAATTTCAAATACTCAAAAATGCTCTTTTCTTGTTATATTTATTAACCTTCATTTTATTATGGTGACCTTCTAATTCTTCTTTCAAATCCTTTATTTTTGTATTAATTTTATTCATTTCATATAAGTCCTCTTCTTCTGATTCGTTCTGTTCACTTTCCATTTCAATATTTTGATCCAGACCAAAGATAGGAACTGTAATTAATATGTTGCAACTTTTAATGTTGCAACTTATGTTGCAATTAGTTTTAACCTATATATGTTGCAACTAATTTTAGCTTATATTACAACATTTTGTAAATTTGAAATCAATTGCTGTATCATCTTTAATCCAGATGTATAATTGCATTATCAACGTTAGATTGAATGGGAAAAAACCTTGTAATCTTTGATGTGCCAATTGCTGATTTCGTAAATGAGCCACTTGGACTCCACTTATCATAATATGTCAATTTTGGTGTCTTACCGATCTTATATGGACCCCGTTTTTTTTCCTCAAATTCATTATCTGCATTCCACTCTAAAATATATATGAATGATTAATAAAAAAAACAATTACTGTAAAATAATTGATTAATTTACCCAATTCTTTCAATTGGATGTTTTTTTCTTTTTCAAAATCAATTTCATCCTCCCATCTGCTGCCATCATCATCTCCCCATTCATTCATATCATTAAATTCTCCAAAAATATTATCGTCAGTTTCTTCACTATTTATCAATTTATTTTGTGATAGAAGCTGTTTATTCTTTTTCTTCAGCCTAAATTTACCATCCGATGTTCAAAACTGTTATTTGTAAAGTTTCTGTTGTTTTTTAACGCGTGGCATTCTTGATCAAATCAAGATAAAATAAAATAAACTGTGAGAAAAAAACTTTACAATTTATTTATCTATCCATGAAGATCAAATTACATCATAAATTCATGTGAAATTTATCATTTTGGCTTTTCCGAATTTTTGATTTTTTATTAATAAAACTATATATTTTTTACATGATTTAAAACTTTAATAACTTTATCAAAAATTATGCAATCTAAAATTAAAGCCGATAGATTGAAAGAGAATAACCTAATCTATTACTCTATCGGTATTAATTTTGATATTTACACAAACTGAAAGATTAGATATAATCTGCAGTTATATCTAAATCTTTGATGAGTATAGATGTGTTGCACCATATACTGATTTATCTTGTTCTACTACTTGTCTGCAAGCTAATTTTCGAAGATGTTGGCAACGAGAATCATTCTTACCTCTATGGATCCTGGAAGTATGATCTACACCTATCTTTCTTAATATTCTAAAGTAATTTCATGTTTAGCTAGAATAATATTAATTGGATTCACATTAACTATACTGCTTTTGTTTTTTCGTAAAAAGGGAAATTTTTCTGATATTGCTTTCTAAATTTAAATAAGCAACTCCTTTGCTCATAGTGGATTTTTTTCCATTAAAAGGAAAAGTTGAGGTTCCCATACTCCTGTTTCATCTTTAATTTTAGAGTAACCAGTACAATACCAGAAATATTTAGGATTATACCAAATTTTGTCTGATGCTTCATATTTATTAATACAAAGATCGGCAATATCTGCTGGTCACATACTTAACATTATCATTACATCAACCAGATTTTCCTTAAAAGGTGATAAGGAAATATTATATTTATCAAGTCTTGGCTGAAGATTTTCTAAGAGAAAGTATTCAGGCTAGTCAACACTTTCATCTTCATCGAGTATAAGCCATTTTGCTTGAATTTTATTTGATTTAGTAGTAATATGAGAAATCTTTGTTGCTTCTTTTTTGAAATAATCAGCTCTATGATTCCGTAACTTTTTTCACAATAAAGTAAGCCTAGAACTTCCTGCGACTGGATTAGGTGCAGAATTGCTCAGATCATATGAAATTTATTTTATTTTCTTAGATGAATAATCATTTTCAGCAATTTCTTGGGCAATTTTATCAATAGTATCTCTATCTTCTTTACGCTTTCCAGAAGGTTGAATAGGGATAAAAACTTCTACTTGTTTCTTAGTAAGCCCTAATAACTGAAAATGTGTTTTAGCATTAGATTTTACCTTGCGATCATCCTTCAAACTTTTGCTAATTTCCTCTGTGTATTTAGCTAGTTCAGATAACGGAGTTTAGGGATCTATTTATGGCATTTCATAAAATCTGTGGTGACTTTAACATATTGTTTTAATGACAGTATAGTCAAGAACATTAAAATGTACTAATTTTATATTACGTATAAAAAGGTTCAATTCGAAAAATTCCTCAAAGATATATGCTTTTTCAGAAAAGGAAAATATCAAAGATGTCTCTTGAGAAGGTTAAGTAAGCAAAAAATAATAATATAAATTATATGGGTTTTTTGAGGCCACCTGCTTGACTAAGTGGGAAGAGGTTTACATTGATTTGAAAATTGTGGATAGGATAAGCGAAAAAAATAATAATAATTCAGAATTTTATATTACCTATTTGTAAAGAACAAAAAGATCCTCCTACCTAAACAATTTACTTATAAACTGGCTTCTTATTCACTCTTTATCAAAGTATACCATTCTCCTGAAGTATGCTTACCATTTTTTTCTATTTCTCGTCAATGTCAAGCCAGAAGGTTATAGCTCCCTCATCCTTAAGACTATGACAGATTATTTCTTCTCCTATTAATCTTTCTTGTACATCACGTCTATATGTTCTTTGAGATCTTCTTCTACCTCTTTTGCATAATCACACATTCGTGAATCTGTTTTCATTCTATCACAGAACGCAATATAATCGAGCCTATCTTTTTCGGTGATAGTCACAAAGACATCTGGATTCTCACCAAGTTTGACTGCCTTTTTCTAAGACGCTCTTCTCACTGAGTCCTGGATAGGAGAATGGCAAATGATACTTGATTGATAGGCTTTAGGGAATTGTACTTGACACTTGTTTCTTTAGAAGGCATATTCATAATTTTACTTACAGGCTTAAAAGATTCAGACTTATTGATTACTGGCTCAGGTGTTTTAGAAGTCACAGATATACTAGATATACCAGATGTTGAGGTGACTGGAGCACAGATATCTTTTGCTACATAGTCAAAAATGTCTTGACTCAATTCGTCCTGTTTATCTGCTTTCTTATCTTTACTAGTTTCAGGTGGTAGTGTATTTCTTTCTAGCTGAGGTGGGATTATTTTTAGAAGAATAATTTCTGGCACATTGAATATAGGTATGCCTATAGGTTCATTCTGCGAACGTAAGTCATCTTAAAATATCTCAGAAAATTCTTCCATATCATCTAAATCAGATTTATGAAGCTTGACTATAATTTTAATGCGGTCGAGAATATACTGATATACTCTTACTCTATTATCTTATGAATGTGTTCGATCAATACTAATTAGTGAAAATTTAGTTCTAGCGTCCTTCTTAGCTAATGGCTTCTTTCTATTATATCCACACCATTCAAGATAATCCTGGTATACATTTTCACAGCTAAACCTATTAATACAATTTTCAGACCAAGATACAATATAATCAATTATAAATCGAATAGGATTAAGAAGTTGTTTTTGTATTGTTTCTATCTTTATTTTAGTTATAGGAATTTTTCCTGGACTCCAATTTGATAAGTCACGGCTAAGAAGGTATGCCATTACTACTCCAGATGCATCAGAATGGTCTAGTATTTCTCCTAGCCGATCAAAATATGCTATATTACCTCTACAACGTGCAGAGACATCAAAACAGATTATATGAGAATCACCTATATTATTTTAAGTGAAGCATCTTAATTACTTATAACCATATATCCAGCATAATCATTTATTCATATAGTTTCAAGACTCTTACGCTCTATAGTTACCATTCGTTCTGTTATAAGCGATTTGAGATACCTGTTAAATTTATGCTATTCTCTACTCGACATTCCAGTTTCATTCATAACAATAAGCTTTCAAGCTTGGATAGCGCTAATAAAATGTCCAAGAATTTTTTCCAAATCTGATGTTGCAAAATGAAGATATTGTTCCAAAACTTTGTCACCAATAAAATCAGTGATGATAATTTTCTGCACTGTTATAATGTAGATTTAGTACTAAAATAGTTCAGGGCTTCTTCTCTGACTTCTACACTAAATATGTTCACCAGTTCCAGATATATTTGTCAAGTCTTTTATTCTTACTACAGATTACGTTCTTTATATGCCAAAGAATCAGTTCTATAATTTCTTTATTAATTCCTATTGCTGGCTTGGCCAAAAATCCTAGAAAAAGATAAAAGAACTTTATATCATGAGCTGGAGAATTTAGCAGATACAGCAGTGTTGAGCAATTGGACAATTTTGGACAGATTTTGGACAGGTTTTGGACACAATTTCATATGTCCAAAACCTTGTCCAAAATATTTAAAATTAAAATAAGTCCAAAACCCATTATTAGAATACAGTAGAAAATTAATATTGCGGTAAAAGATTAAACCTTTGGTAACTGCCTGATCTATTAAATTAATTAACTTCACCACCTCTCCTCCTAGCTCAACTAAGTTAATTTCATATTTGACAAGATCTAGTTTTATTGTCATATCAAAATATATTCTACCATTTATATTCTCTATTTTGAGCACCCATAATCTTGATGTTATTTGAATACAGACAACTGTTACCCGAATTGCATCATAAATCTCATTACGAGAAAATTTCTATTCAGATACACACATATCAATTAGATCACCTCATACAAAGTAATCATTGGGATTTATAATTTTGAATCATTCTAGTTTTATAGGACTTGAAAGCTTTTATTCTTGATCTAAGGCAGTTTCTCTAATAGTAAGTTTTTTTGAAGGCTTTCTTGTTCTAGGTTATCTATCTTAATTTGCACGGTAGCAGAAAAAGCTGTAGGATTTTTATTTCAAATAATATATGCATTATCACTATCATTTTCTTGATCACATATCAGACAGTATGATGGAGAGATGCGTGATAATAGAAATTTGTCAGTAAAGTTTTCAGATAAGTATAAGAGACTATATCCTTCGATGCTAGCTTTTTGAAGTATTATCTCTACTAGTTCAAATTCAGTATTGGTAGTGGTATTATTTATGCTATGGCATTTCTCTATTTCTGGTTCCAAAACAATTAAGAGAGGACTTTCTCTGATTTCTGATTCATCATTTGGCTGGCGAAGCATTAAGTCGAAGATTGTCCTATCTTTGGGATGCATTGCTTTTTTCATATGAATGTGCTCTTTTGTTTTTTCATCATACTTAGACGAACCAAGCATTTGCAAGGAAAATGAATGTTTATTCGTAATATTATTTATAATACTATTTTCTTGTAAAAATACTAGAAGTTTCTTACGGACAAGTTCAATGAATACTGCAATCTAAACGATATTCTTAAGCCTTATACCAGTAGTAGAAATGTGGAGGGATATTTTTTCACATTAGTACTGGTAACAGTAATACTATTTTTTTCACCTTGGAAAATTTCAAGACAAACATCTCTAAAAGCACGTTTGAGTGTATCTAGTATCTCTTTATGTGTAAGTTTATATTCGATGCTATTATACATTTCTTATGGCAAATCAAAATCTATAATAGGTCAGAGTAGCTCATTCCCATCAATGATTTCGTGTAAGGAATGATCCTTACAATTTGAGAGTATAGCTTCTATTTCATCCGCATTGTTTACGCTAAGGAAATGTCTTGGCCTAACACTATCATCATGAATTTTATATAAGTATTCACTAATATCTTTAGTTTTAAGACCTTGTTGTATGAGGCAGAGCGTCGAGGAACTCTGAAAGCTCAAATTGTGTCATAGTAAAAATTTTTAGTTGCATTATTTAGCATACTGTTTCAGTATAATACCCTAGTAAAAAAGTTTAAAATAAAAATAAATAATTATAGATATCAAAGTGTTATTTATTTAACAATAATATTAATAGGCGATAAATATATTTGCTAATTCAATGAAGGGGAGGTTTGTGGGCGGGGAAGTAGAAAACCAGAAGGGTGTTATATTCACCAAAAAAATGCTAGCGACCTTTATGCAAACAAGATAAATGTGAAAGACTGACAGTTTCTAAATATGGATTTTATGATTGGTATGTGAAAAAGTACCATTCAAACACATATAATCATCAGAAAAAGTTGGATAAGATGTTTCAGAACTGTCAGATCCTAGAGGCAATGAGTCAGACTCTCAATAGGATAAAAATACCTGATGCAATAGAGTGTTAGCCTTAGAAAGTTATCCCTAGAAAGTTGTCCCTAGAAACATGCGAGAAACACTTTTGGGAACTTTGAAAATAGGCTTTTTAACGCTTCTAGATCTCCAGAAAGTCTTCTAGGTGAATGTTCCTAGCGTTCCTAGCGTTTCTATAGAAAATCAAAACTTCTAAACTTTTTTATTTTTTCTTTAGGATGGCAAAAATTTGGCATATATTTATCATATATTATGTCATATATGTATCATACTATATTGCATAAAAACTATAGAGATAGCATATAAAAATTTTGATTTTTTTCCTAGAACTTTATTTTTACTAGGATTACTAGGAACACTAGGGATAAATAAAGAAACATAATCAATAAACTTAAAATCCTAAAAAATGATATTATAGTTGTTCTTAGTGAGTGTCCTTAGAAAAATTTCTCTAGGAACACTAGGGACAATTTTTTATGGGTATTTTAACAGACAACCAAATAGGCGTAAAGGGTAAGCGTTTTAATATAAAATCTAGCACTCAATCAGACACAAGAGGCTAATATCCCCATTATAAAACTAGGTATCCAAATGGCTATAGAAGGCTAGTAACCTCCAATATAGAAATTAGTATGCAAAAGACTCAGAAACAAGAAGAAAAATGTGTATATGATAACTCTCAATAAAATATAACCATATAAACTGATAACCCCAAGAAAAAATATTCATATAATCTGATAATCTCAAGAAAATATAATCATATAATCTAGGCTAAGCCAAATAAAATATTAAAATCATATACTATATACATCGTATTAAAGCTCCTAATGAGTCGAGTTGACTCACAAGTAAGGTTGCTTGTCTAAACTCATTTTGGATTTGGCAAAATGGTAAAACCTTTAGTTTCGCTAAATTTTTACTAA